ATGTACTCAATCGTGTTGTAAATCTACTTTTTACTAAGTAAAGGGAAATTAAGTAATCGCGATACTTGTATGGTAAATCTATTATCTTGATCATGGAATAAAGGACACTTCAATTAGAGAATGAAAGGTGTCACTTTATCAACAAATAGCTCTACCTTGCGTGACGCGAGACGCTGGAGAGCCGGAAAGCAAAAGGCAGTCGACCGTTTAAAGGTGTTGATAGGTTTAAAAAGTTTAGCTCTAATTTCAAATTCGTTCTTAGGCGGCTTGAGGCCTTTCTTTTCGCGAATCCCTCCGTATGTACGTTCCGTGAAAAAAAAAAAAAAAAAAAGGATCAGGTCTCCGTCTCTTTAAAACGCGTTTGCATTTCAAGGGTCAATTCCCTGTTAAACAATTCGCCCCTGGGAGTGTAGTTTCAGACTCTGATATTATTCATTCCGCCGTCGGCTGTGAGGGTAAATGTTGCCATTTGCGTTGAGATTCTTATGGAAGATTACAGTCTCGATCCTTTCTGAATCTTGTCAATTGCTTCCTATGAAAGAATTCGTTACGGAGGAATATAACTCACTGGAAAACCAGGAATACCCGGAATTCCCAGAATGACCGAAAAATTATAGATTAAAAAAAAATAATGTATTAATTAATCTTCAAAAATAATATTTTGATAAATAGATAGTTGAGTAATTAAATCAAAATAAAAATAAAAAATATGTAAAACTAAAAAGGAAAAAGGGAAAGTCAGTTCACTGTAAGTATAATGTTAGGGGAAAAATTTCTGTGCATAATGTTGGTTCATGTTTTGTTTGAATTGGGGTTTTGTTTTTCAAGTTTCAATTTATTTCTTGTGGTATGTTCGTTCTTTGACTCGACCGATTGAGCTTTAAAGAATGATAAACGAATTGCTCTCTTCAAATTATTGTCACCATTGTGTAAATTATAGTAAAAAAATTGAGTTGTCGACATATCATAAAGTATTGTATTTAGGGTTTTAGGGCATGTATATCTGCTAGTTTTCCCTATGTATTCCTACACTTTCACATTTAAAATAATCGGGTTTATTCGGGTTTTCCCTCTAGTTAGTCAAAAAAGAAAAAAAAGTACATAAAAGGAACAGTTGTTTTGAGTAGTAAAATAAGAGATTTTTGACTTGTTACTTGATTTCATTGTATACTTGTATGTCGGTACTTTTGTTGTTTAACTCTAGTGAAATTATTAGTAAATAAAAGTGTTAATGGTCTTTCTGACAAATTAGTTCTTATGGTAGTTGACAGCTGAATTTATAATCGTAACTTCAATTTCCTTTCATGCGATCAAACTTAACACCAACCTTGCTTAGATAAGCGGAAACTTTTAATTGTGTTTTTTCTTTTATTTTGTAAGCTGCTCTATTGTAATTTCCATGAGGATATTTTAAGTATCAAAACTGTTAATTCTCACCTAAGTTTCCCGTTTTTAAGGGGCCGACCATTTAACTCTTGAGGAGGGGGGAAGGGTGGGTACTTTTGAAAGACAGTTTCCTGTAAGCGCTTGTTCGAAGAAAAAAATTGTATGCAGCCCAAATGTAACAAAAAACAAAAAGAATTATTGCGTTGCTGTAAGAAAGGGAAAAAAATGTTACAAATTTGTTTCATCATTCCGGGGAAGGCTTTACAAAATCGCAGCAAAACTGCAACTATTGCTCCTTTTGATTTTCTGACTTATTGCTTCATGCGTGCAATAACTTCAATTAACTTTAATTTTGCTTTCACATTTGTTTTGGATATTTTAGTCCACTTTTATATTGCAACTGATGATTCCAGCAGCATTTACCATGCCGTGAGCATTTCTAAACTGCTTTCTGCTAAATTGGCTTTTTTTGTTGTTAATTAAGAAACTAAACGTTTTCACATCTGCCTCTGGTGTATCACTTTATTTGACGTAATATAAAACGAATGAATGGAATGACTTTCTGAAAACATAGCTATATTAGAACTATTGCTGCAATGACCACAATTTAAATGTAAATACATTTTGTATATGTAAACACATGACCCTTCTTTTGAAGAAAAAAAAAATTCCGCTGAGAATTCAGGAGGGAAAAAAATTTTCTGCAGAGCATTTAGAACGGAAAACAATATCCTTCCCAGCAGATTGCTAGAAAAAAAATTCTTGATGACCAGAAATCACCCACCTCCCCCCCCGTAAAAATTTAAATGGCTGGCCCCTAAAGGCAAAAAGATTGCTGAATCTGCTTTTTAAATTTTGACATGTGAATATATCAATGTAAATCATTTTTTTGCTTCAAAGGTAAGCTTTTCGTTCCTTTGTAATTCTTATTTACATATTGTCAATTTGGAGGACAACAGGACCTCACACGAATTCAGTACTTAAGTAATCACTTCATAAAGGTTTGTCTGACTACAAACTTGAGTGGGCTAGAGGTCATGTCAGTTGTTGGCCTGATTTAGAATAAAATTTACTGTGGAACAAAATGCTGTCTCATCCTTGACGTCCGTATAAGCTCACTTGAAGTAGATCTCTGTGTGCCAGGAAATCGCGACGAATTTCCGTTCTCGCTGCCGAGTCACTCTACAGAGCTAACCCCCCCCCCTCCTCACCCCGTCCATGAAGGTTCAGTTTTCCCATTTTGAGCGCGAAAACTTATCGTCACAAAAAACAAAAAAAAACAAAAAAAACAAAAAAAAATGCAAAATTTTCTCTTGATAAAATGCAGGGGACCACGTGCCAGAGCAAAAAATAACCATCTATGGCACTATTCACGGAGATACATTTAGTGGTAGAACTACATGCAGCTCACAGCCTGAAGGTAAATAAACCAGAAGCGTCTTTGATTATTGACAGAACTCTAGCGCTGTGGGATTTAAGTGGAAAAGTGGACGTAACGAAATAATTTCGATATATCAACAAAGTTGAAATGGTAAATTGGCCACCGTAACGATTACAAAAGCTGACGTTTCGAGCGTTAGCCCTTTGTCGGAGCGAATGCAATATAGGCAGCAATATAGGCTCTGAAATATAGGCATCAAGTGCACCTTTCATTACATTTCCGGCGAGTGGAATTTTTTTTTTGATGATCACTGCGTCTTCTAAATCGGAAAAAACATGCGTGAGCCCTGCCCGGGTTGTTATTAATGCTATTTAAGTCTTCTATATCCGTAGTATAGACACTCTCTACTTAATTTTTGTATTGCTGTATTGCTCCTCGTTCAGAACAAACTATTCGTCTCTCAAAGTTTAAAACTTCTTAAAAGGCTCTTTTATTTGGTAAAGTTCAGATCCATTAGAAATAGCTAGAACAAGCACAGTTTCCCGTTCATCTTCAATTTGTTCTATAAAAACCTTGGTGAAAGCTCTATCGGCTAATTCTTTTTCTCTCGTTTCAATCACACAGATGAAAACATGCACTCCTTCCTCGTTTGGGCTCGATGAAGCATCCAATTATGGAAGCTCGATGTCCCACGCTCTTTTAGTTCTCTTCTAGCCCACGGTTCCTGCAATGAAGCCAGAACAGCATCGAACATCTGGAAGACCCATCTTGTAAATAGCTCCTTCTTTCCAAAAATTTTGTAGATATATTGTTTGTGCTCCTTCACGCCTCAAGATAGAAGCTCAGTCTCGGCATTTTTAGGAAGACAGAGGAAGCAACGGAGATGAGTGGCACCAGGAAAATTTTCAGATAGAGCATCAGATAGTGCACTTTCTATACCGGTAACAAAAAAATAGTAGCTGCTCAAGCTGTGGGGAAGACATTTCAAGTTCCGAAAACAACTGTGCACAAGTACCTTTGGTCTTGCTGCTGTGGATGAAAATCGGTCTAACGAACACTGGACATTTATTGCTCTTTATACTTTTCAGGAAAATGTTTCGGTATGAGGTCGGAGTTACGCTGAACTCGCCAACTATAAACGTTGGGTTAACAAACAAATAACTGAAATCTAGGTTATTTGTAAAGAATCTGGTGAACTAGGCAAGCTGTTTATCGGCTGCCAATAGAATAAGAGGTCCACTCGAGAGTTTGTGCATTTAAGCGAAACTTTTCCTTCCGTTTTCGCATACCAATCCCATGATTTCATTTCATCTACTTGTTTACGCCTTGGCTGCGAGTAGGTTGCATTAGAGCGGTTTCTTTTCATGTCATAGGCTTGAGTTTTACCTATGGGAGTGTCGGCTTCTCATGACACTTTGATTTGTCCTCCCAAGTTTTTCAGTGTTTTGGAGGCAGCTGCGCTTATTGCTAAAGAGCTTAAGCTCTCGCTTAAAGCTCTGTTGACAGATGGCTCCGTTCGAGTGTATGGTAATACTTTCCAACCTGCCCGTCAATGCTATTTTTAAACCACAGAAGAAACGGAAACAGACAGTAAATCTTTATTACATTTCATGTATTCACGCTATCTCGCCGCCACAGGACATACTCATTCCACTGCGACAGGATACAATAGACTTACACTCTTTTTATGACCATAATAAAACACCGTCAGAGGGAGCACGTGCACTCTGCCTGGTTCCACCCACTTCTATGGTTACAGTTTCAGATCGTCAAGCAGCAGGAAAAAAGAAAACAGCTGCAACTGATCGAAAATAAAATTTATACTTTTCTCCCCTCCGTCGTGCCCGTGTGTGCCAACTTTATGAAAATCCTCCCTAACATGATGCAACTTCCCTGAGTTATCGCGTACCCGAACAACAGCAGAATATTTGCGAAAATGGTTGTGTTCATATTTTTCAGAATTTTCTAGTATTGGATTCGTTTCAGTGCCCTACGTGACTGAAATAACTTGTTTATTTGAAATAACTGGGCGCGGTAGCAAAGGTCTGACCTTTTTCGTGTGTGGTGATTAGAGTATATTAGTCTTCCGGCCTTGCATAGTTGTCATCTTTTGACGTTTTCTAGGAAGCTGAAGAACAAGAAGGAAGTGCTGTGGATAGCTATATATATATATATATATATATATATATATATATATATATATATATATATATATCGATAGGCCAGTTATCGGTTAAACCTTAGATAATGAAGCTCTTTCTTACAATTTTAGTTCTTAGGCTGGTCGCTATTTTACGCGGAGTTTCAGGAGAAGCAGGTAAGAGTTAGACGACTGGAAGATGTTTCAGGCCCATTTCAGATGTGTGCTTTTGCCATGACGAACTCTCGATTTAAGCTCATGAATATCGTAGATGTACAGCGTTTGAACTTTTGAATATTTACGTACATAAAAATGTTTTTAAACAATATTTAAGTATTTCAAATTTCAACAAGCTCTGCCGCGCTACACGACTGGAGTACGAAAGTGACTTCCACGTCGTGCCTTTGCTGAGCCAAAAGAAATATCTTAAACATGATATTGTATTTTTCAAGAATTGTACTCTCGCGGGGAGTTAAGCGAATAAATTAATACTTGGCTTCGGTGCAACTCTAGCCAGACGTCTGAATCCTGAATCAGTCTTGCTCCTGCTATACCACACTTTTCGAGCGTTAACTAGGCTAATCGTGTTAAATTAAAGAGAAATGTTATTGAAAGCGGTCACATTTCTTCTCCCCGTTTCTGACCGAAAGGCGAGGGTGGAAACCTTTTCGTGAACGAATGCTATAACTTTTTGCAACTACCTTACTCGAGTCTAGAGTTTTAAGAGCGGCCGTCCGTAAATATCGCCCGGAGATGTGCAATATGAAAAAATCGAAAATTCCCAGACTTTGCCAGAATGTAGGTCTGGATGAACTATTTAAAAAAAAAAAAAGATACTTTGAGTTCAATTCCATTTTTATCTTTCGCGAACGGCGGCAAAGTCGGTTTTGTGGCTCTCACCGTCAGCTTCACGGGGTTTAGACAACCATTATTTAAACGTCGCTTCAAAATAAAATAAACCGTAAATGTGACCAAATATTTTCCTAATGAAAAGAACACGTATTCATAAACAGTCTGAAGTGTTCTTTGTTCGATTCCGTTGCAATCTAAATTTTTGAGGAGTTTTTGTTTTTTTCCAATATTTCACTCAGTTTGGCGGACAAAAAAAAAGGCAAAATTGAGAGGGTATATTCGCACCTAGGTACATGGCATGGGATTGTATCAAGTTGATTCAGCGAAAGGACAAGGTTTCTTTTTTAAATAGCTCCAGTAAAACTTTTGGGCCACTCAAACTACAAAATTTTAGGACCCCAAACAAAAGTGACTCAGAGGTCAAAACACGCTATTACTTGTCACGCAATTGGAAGTAAAAAAAAAATGCGTACGTGGAAAAGACAACAGGCCGCTTTGGGAGCAAAATATCGTCACCAATCTGCATAAGAAGTTAACATTTTGTCGTTTCTGCTGCTCAGGTTATATTACCAAAGATTTTGAATTTTAGCGGTTATGCTTGAAACAAAACTAGCCAAAATGCAACATCGTCCAGTTCGAAGTGGCGAGGACGGACACAAACCTAGATTGCAGTGCCGGCGTATTAGGCCGCCATCTTCAATTTGGTAACTGTGGAGGATTGGGGCGAGGAAATATTTGCTGAGGGAGTAGGTGTGGAAAAATGGGCAACAGGGGAGAGGGAGGGGAAGGAAAAAATACGCCTGCCCGCAAAGCCTGTGATTTCGCAAAACCCGTACACCAGATGGACGGGGCCTCTGATTGGTGCGGTGGGTTAAAGCTGGATTGATGCCTGTCATCTAAAGTAGTTTTCTTTCGGTCGTTCCGCGAGTGAGAGCGGAAGTGATTTGGAGAGAAAATGACGGATACGCTAAGCTTTGATGCCGCTCTCGCAGAAGCACTTTTATTTCTCTCTGAGCTGGGTATGTCGCTTGTATTACGCCCGGAACAAAAGGAAGCCATTTCTTCTCTTGTTCATGGAAGGGATTTACTAGCAGTTCTTCCGACGGGCTTTGGTAAAAGCCTCATCTTCCAGTTGTTGATCCGCGTGAAGCAAATATTATCGTTGAAAGCTGCGTGTGTGATTGTTGTCTGTCCGCTCAAAAGCATCGTGCAAGATCAGCTGGCGGAAGCATCTTTAATGGGTTTGACGGCGACATCCCTTGCTGGTG